TGGTCCTTGTTGTTGTCGTTGTCGTTGTTGTTGTTGTTGCTGGACTGCGTGCATTTATAAATTATGCTCAACATGTAAAATGCCATTTTGAATATGAAATTTGATGCCATTTTAAGCCCTATGCCTGCCCGCATCCATTCCACTCAGCGCCGGCCTTTGTTGACTCGGCCGCATATTTCATCTGAGGCAGCCTGAGGCAGGAGCAGCACAGCCTCGACTCATATTTTAATTACTTGCTAAACGCAAAGTGCACGTTCTTTTTATTTTCATTTAGCCCAATAACATATTTCGCGTCATCAATTTCAGCGCCAGACTGCGGCGCATTTGTACTCATTTGTGGCTAATGCCGCGGCTGCATTAGCGCCAGTTGCAGTGGCAGCTGGGCCGGTGGGCCGCTGCAAGTGCAATGTGGCCGAGTCGGCTCTCTGCAGCTAAGCAAAAAAAAAAAAAAAAAAAAAAAAAAAACAAAAGAGGCAAAAGTAAAGTACGAAAAAAAGGTCAAAAAATCAATCGGCCACGCAACTAATTCATTTAAATCTAACAAAATCTGAGAAAATCCCTGGCAACGACCTTCGGGATTTTGAGATTTTACGAATGTCAACCGAACGCAGCCAAAGTAGCTCAACGGCAGCAGCGGTATGGATCAGGCTGGCTAGTGTTGGTCGGAGGGACGGACAGGGTGTGTGTGAATGTGTGTGTGTGTGTGTGTGTGTGTGTGTGTGTGTGGGGAGAGCTGGTCTGGGCCCTGTTAAGCTGAGCAAGCAAATCACCGGGCATCCCGGCCATGTTGGCGGCAACCCATGTGAGCTTTGGCTAAAATAGTTGGCAACAGCACATTAAACAGCGTCAGCCACACACTCACACACATACACACACAGATATTTGGGTGCGAGTATGCGTGCAAGAGAAAATGAGGCAACAGCAAAAGTCGCAGAACTTTAGCAATTTGAAGCTAATATGTTGACAATCTCTGCGCACGCTGCCCTCGCTAGCACAGTGGCGCCATCTATGGTTATGTGTACTTAAGTCAGTGGAGAAAGCCGGAGGAAAGCCAGAAGAGAAGAAAGGAAGTAAGAGAGTAGCAGAAGGTGTGCTGCAGAGGCAGTGGGAGCTATGCGTTAATAATGAACAACAGATCTGGCAGCTAGATCTATGTATATACTCTCTTTATATATATGCATATGTATATGTTTCTAATGAAGTAAGTGTTTGGAAAAGTATGTAAAAATGTTGACTAGCGTTAGTTTTAGAGTATAAAAACTTAAATAATATTATTACTAAATATTAATATCATAAGCTATATTATAACATCTAGATTTATGAATATATATCATTTGAAATTTTTACTGAAATGATGTATTTAAGGGAAATGCTAGTTTAATTAGTTTTTTATCTAACTCTAATAGGAATTCGGATCATCTCCTAGTTATACCTTATAAATTGCAATTGATTTGTAGTAATGAAGTTAATTAATATCATAACAGCAGCTTATTTCCGGTATATACTTAATATCATAACAGCAGCTTATTTCCGGTATATACCGAGTTTATCGTAGCTCTACAAACATCAATCAGCTTGCTTTCGGCGAGGACTCCACATGATATGTCTTTGATATAATCAAGCTTAAGTTTATGGCTCTCGGGCTTTGGCTCACAGATAATACATATACAGGCATTACATATACATATATATATATATCTATATAATCCTCTTGGCGCTTTGCTCTCGTGATTTTGTCCGTGAATATTTTGGCCCGTCTCCGTTGAGTTTTTGCAATCTTTTAATAACAAATTCCTGTTGGGGTTTTGCGCTCGTTTATGCACATATGAGCTACAGCAAGCAACTCGTGTACTCGTAAAAAGTGGATTTTACTGCTTAACTTTGGCAACAACAAATGAAGCAAATGAACAACGCACACAGCAGTTTTTATATTTTGCATAAATAAAATAAAATGCAATTTTTCCATTGTATTTTTTTTGCTGTGGCAGTTGGAGTGCCTGCTGCTGCTGCTGTTGCAGTTGCACAAATCCCTTGCACAAAAGTCAGCAATCAAAGCAGATTAAAATATGATTTGACAGCTACGAGCTATGAGAAATGTAAATATAAATGAATGAATGTATATGTTATACAGATGCATGTACATATATACATATGTATATACTACGTACATACATATGTGGGCTGTTATATTTTTATTCATATATCGCATCTGTGGCATGTGTGTCCCTTGCAAGTGGCGCCACACTTTTTGCCGCGCTGCCCGATTTCATTTTGGCATTTCGATATTGTTTCCATATTTAACTAGAGCCCCGTCGCTTCATATCTTTTGCCGTAAGCCTTCAATTGATGCGTGCATTGCATTTTTATCAAAGCCCGTGCGAGATAGTGCGCCAGCACAAGGGGCGGACGGGGGCGGCATGTGGGCTGGTTCGGGTGACCTATTAAAAATTTAAATCAATTTTCAATATGGATTTCGTATAGCTGCTATCTGCTATATGCGCATCGGCATCTGCATCTGGCGGATCGCAATTGCGACATTTGTCTGACACTTTTTGTTGATATTCAATATTTTATTTTTGCCACTTTATATACATACAAACATACATACATATCTGCCCATATATTTATATTTTATTTATTGGTTTTGCTTTATCGCAATAGCTGTCAGATGGCTGCTGCAGAGCATGTTTTATCTTGAAAATGCATTGCATTTTCTATATTTATTGGATGCATTCTTTGCTAGATCCTAACACAGCCCGTCAGGTATCTGCCACACCTGCAACGCAAAGCCGTAGCCCATTTGCACAATTAACAGTTAATAAGCGCAGCCTTTGCCACCAATTGCCGCCATTTACAGCCACCGGCTAACTGACCCCAAAGCAGATTTGCTGCAATTAGCTGCGCCACAGTCGTGTGCAAAGTGTGTGCCGAGTGCATAGGTCGCCTAAGCCCCACTAATGGGCGGGACAATAATTAAATTATCATTAACGAAAGTCGAAACAGCGTTAGCTTCCCTTCTAGATTAAACAGATTGTAAAACGGAGACATTATTTATATAATATCATATATGAAACATTTATCCAAATACTTTTGGCACTTCGGCACTTCGCTTTTTATTCTAGGCTGAAATCAGATCTTATTTATATAATAGCTAAATATTACAAAATATGATACCCATAAGAATCAATCTATAAATTCGAATTAAAATACAACCTTATATTTTATCTTATTTCTGTAAAGCTGAGTGGATTCTATGGCAACTAAATTGATTTCTAATGTCAAAATTTTGCTGTTTATTTTAAGGTTTCTTTATAAATTATATTGCATATATTAATTGATATTGAAATAATTTTAATTGACATTGCAATGTCAATATTGTTAATGTTAATGTTGTCAATGTTAATATTACTAATATATTCCTAAAATTTCAAGTTCCTAGCTCTTCATTTACAATTAATGCCAAAAAAATTTTTACCCATAGTGCATTGAAGGTAATGTTTGATATCTTAAGCGGAACAACCTTAACTCTGTCACTAAAAGAACATATAATAAACTATTGACTGGAAGCAAGTTAAGAATTACATATGCTATATTATGTTCCTAGTTATTCTCTTAGATAATGCGTTCTTATTGCAATTAAAGAATAACAATTATACGATCGAACTATTTATAAGGAAAAAAAAAAAATGTTTAGAAATGATTCTTTTATTTTACTTGCGGAGCAAAAAGATATTTATTAAATTTATAGACAGTTTTAAATTTTGTATGGAGAGCCCCAAAAAAATGAAGCTGAAGGCTGGATTAAAGCCAATACCGACTGTGAATGCCGCTCCAGCTACTCTTCGACTTTCATTTAAATTTAAATCACATGTCTAATACACAAACTTAGGGCAAATGGGATAATAAACCGTTGCTAAATGAGCTCAAACATAATGGCATTTACGCAACTGTACCTCGCCATGCATAAGTGAGGTTATGTGTGCTGTGCGTGTGAGGTTATTTGTGCTTTACAGATCCCCGCCCAGTTGAGTGGGGGAGGGGAGGTGGTGCAAATGCTTAAATTCTCATTAGGCGCATTAGTAGCGCTGACCAACCGATGCCAACAGACACCTGCCACAAACCGCGCCTAAATTCAATAATAATAATTGATTGCTTATTACAAATACAGCAACAACAGTATCAGCAGCAACAACAACAACAATGGAACATTGCATATGTGACTCAAATTTATACGTTTCACGTTTTTGGGGTGGGAGTTCTCCACATTTCGGGCATTTGCTAATATTTACGCATTAGTTATTTGCAGGTGCAAAATGAGGAGGATGGAGCGGGGAAGCGGGGAACGGGGAGCGGGAAACGGACTACATATATAAGCAGCCATAAGTCCAGCTGTAATTGACCAATGCACCAAATGGCAGAGAGACTACACCAAATTGAGAGTTGGGCCACATTAAATTTGCATGTTTTCATTTTGCTTTTGTGCACACAAATTTTAATTATTAACTTTATAATTATGCGAAATCACGAATTACATTAAAATCACTTTGTAATGTTGATTTGGGTTTCGTGTGCTGCGCATTTCGGTTTTTGGCCATCGAATTTTTGGTTAGGCATTGCGAATTTCTGATTTCATAACTAATCACACCTTGTAAAGTGGACTATCGATAATGTCGAATGGACGGAAATAATTTATATACATTCCAGGTGTATACAGTGTTTAGATTATGTTGAAGCTGTAAAGAATTCCGTTTCATTATATTTAAACCGTTTTTTTTTGCTGTTGTTGGTTGACCGATATGCACATATATTATCTAATGGGTTGCAGGGATCGAATGATCCGATGAACTGAGCTGCTATTGCAAAAAATTTTGTCAGCCTTATATCTAGATTATTTTTCATAAACAGGTACTATTTCGTATTATTTTTGACTGAATTATTCGACTTATATTATTATACTATAGATCTTTGAAATTAAAATCAAAATCAATCAATGTATTTTGAAAACCCCTAAGCCTTAGCTACCTTTGTATTTTCAGTAGATATAGTTATTTCGATACCCTCACTACAAATTGCAGTATGAATCAGTAGCCATAACAGCAAATCTATACTGGCTATACTAATAGAGGATCACAGTTCAGACTCGATACCCCACCGACATCTGGTATAATGCTGAGCATTCTATTTGTCTTCCTGGCGATGGGTCAGCTCATGGCGCCTGTGCTGGGGCAGTTCGTGAACTGCAGCCTCTCGACTGTGGAATTGACTGCCTGTGGCAAGCTCAGTCCGAACGGATGCTGTGCCAAGGGCTGCATACGGAATGCGGCGGGCAGATGTGTGGCAGAGCATTGTACTGGCAGCTGGGATGGCTGGCTGCGACGACCTGTGACGATGTCCTGTTACTTTCACTGGTTCCTGCTCATCTTTGCCGCGTTTATTATCATCCTTATGTCGAGCGTCGTGCTGCTGAATCTGGTATTCGAGCTGAGGCTGTTTCTGGAGAAGCGACGTATGCGCCGATATTTGCGGTTCAGTCCAAGGAGCAGCCCAAGCAGCAGCGTTGTATGAAACTGTTGAAAGAATCCAAAATGGCAAATGGCAACGGGAGGCATTGGGGCATCAATCCAGATCTTAATGCACATGCGTGTGACATAAAAACTGTGCGGGATTTGGCATAATCTACAATACATTAGCGCTAGCTTTGCTCTGGCTTTCAATTCAATTCGTTGGGTATCTCAACGGAATCCATGTAAATTACGATTTGGCACCTTGCTGTTACACACACACACACACACACACGCACAAATGCTGAGAACGATGCCAAAGTCTCAGAATCCCATTACATAGTAGTTAAAACCTGATTAGGAAATACTTGCGGCTGCTTTCAGCTCTGCCACACGCTTGGTTAAAACGAAATAACAATAAACGGCACATGTGAAATGGTTACTTACGTTCGTTAAGCGGCTCGTGGGTGTCCCGGGTGACAACAAAAACGTGGCCCAAAAACAAAAAAAAAAAAAAAAGCGAAGAGGGCAAAAAAGAAAAAAAATTCGCAACAACTCAAAGTCAAAGGTGCAATAACCCAACGGCACATAAAAGCAAATGGCTGCGGGTTGTCTCTATATACTAGGTACATACATACATATATATGAATGCATATGTATATATATGAATATGTATGTGGAATGGTCTATGTAATGCTGCTATTGCGGTAAAGATGACACACACACACACACACACTCATACACACACACGGAGACGCAGTCAGCCATGCAGCCAAAGCCAAACCGCGCAGAAAATGAAATGGAAAATATTGCCACGAGAAGCAGCGAAATAAAAAAGAAATAAACGAGCCAAAAAGGAAAAGCTGCGCCAAAAGGTTTGTTCGCCCTCTCTCTGTGTGTGTATATGTGTGTGTGTGTGTGTGTGTGTGAGTACTGGGTAGCAGATTTAGAGGTTGCTTATGTGTGATTTAGTATAGCACGCGCGAATATGGCGGCGATAATTCTTTAAAAATTGGAAATTGTTTTCCAATCGATTTCGCATTTAGCCAAAAAGCACTCGACACACACAGAGGTACACACACACATGCACACACCTAGTAGCAGGCAAGCGGAAAATGTCTTTTACAGTTGCCCCACGTATGTGTGTGTGTGTGTGCTTGTGTCAGTTTAGTTTGCGCCAAAAACATTTTACAAAAATGTACAAAATGATATAAATAATAAAAAGTGAAAAAAAGAAGAAATAAAAACATATTTTGTTATTTTTCACCTGGTTGCAGCTTTGAAAAGGATTTGGTAGCTGAAATCATGGATTTGGATTTTAGCTTTTGTTTAGTTTTAGGTGGAAGGTGAAAAGCGAATTGTTTTGGCCAGATGGAAAATGATGAAGATGAAGCGCAAAATGGAAAAAGTCAAGAGAGCAGCGCAATGGGATATGGAATGGAAAAGTGTTAAGGAATTGATTAAGATATGTGCATATATCTATATATATATTTTGTTAGTGTAATCGATGTAATAGAAGAGCTCTTGGGCTGTTGGGGATATATAGGATGCTGAAATTTTAATGAAATAAAACAAAAATATCTTAACTTACTGAAATTACAAATTTTTATATTAAAGGCTAAAGTTAAATAGTGTCAACTCTTGTTATTTTCAGATAGTCCATTTATAGAATCTTGAGAAAAAAACTTCATAAAGATTTGTATTGCATCAGTAGCGCTTTACAATCTACTTATTTAGAGTTCTCTCCCGTATGTGTGTGTGTGTGAGTGCACGAAAATGTAACAATTTCTGTATCCAATTTACATTCTCGGCGCTCGTTCATTCAAGTTTATATAAAAGCGATTTTCATAGCTATATGGGGAAAAAGAAACAAGCAGCCGATAGTGCGGCTCATTGTGTGTGGTGTACAATGACTACAATGGGCAACAAAAGGTTAGATAGCTACACACACACACACTCATACACTTGCAGCAAGGGGGCGTGTTTCGGTTTTAGTGGAGGAGAAGGTCGCAGGGGTCGGGGAGAGGCACACAAAGTACTGCCAGGGATAGCGGGCACGCAGCTCTGGAGTGGGCGAGTCGTGACATATTTTATTTGCACAATGACAATGCGAGTTACTCGGCAGACGGCAGCGACAACGACGACGACTACACACCCGCCATTACGCAAACACACCCTAACACACACACACACACACACACTCAGAGCTAGATCTGTATAAATTGGCTGGCAGTGAAAAGTGGGGTACGGCGGAGGCAAAGCAGCGCACAAAGTAGTAAAATAAGTGCAAAGGATAATGCGAATTGAAATGACAAAACCCAGAATAATCATTGGCTCCACACTCAGCATGCAGGAGTCGAGTCGAGTCGAGACGAGTCGAGTGTGGAGCTAAAGGGCGGCTGTTGTTTGTAGCTCGATGAGTAGACCGAATGCCATACTCAAATGATTTTTATTTATGCCTTTTAAGTAAATTAAAATTTACTCATTTTGTAGCTCACATTGATGTTGCTGCTGCTGCTGCTGTTGTTGTTGTTGTTGTCGTTGTTGTTGTTGCTTCTCTCAAATCTTCGCACATGACAATATTGTCAATTTTATTTTGCCAGCCATTTTTATTGCATTTCGTTGACTTAGTCCTGCCTTAGCATTTGCCTCGACTCGTAAAATATTTTTATGTATTTTTTATTTACCCAACGCTACGATGCATGACCTCAATATAGCATGCCAAGTGGCCCCACACAGCCAGCCAATGCAGTTGCCGCTGCTGCTGCTGCTGATGCTGCTGCTCCTACATTTGCTGGCTCCAGCTATAGCTATGGCTACATCGTTCCTGGTCCTCGTAACATGCTTTTAATGTGCGCCATTTTATTTGCCACAAAACCGACACACGGCACCATTAAAAAGCCATAAGCGCTGAGCCTCAAGCTTCGAGCTGCCGGCCTGGACTCGCGCTTAGACATTATTAGAACTTGCCCAACCACTCTCGTTCCCTCTCTCTCTATCTTTCGCTTTTTGTCTCGCTCATATTGTTTCCGGCTTGCTCTGGTCATAAATTGTGTGCGCGGCTGCATTTTGATTACAATTTTTATGATTTTTAGGTCAAAATTTGCCAACATAAAATGGCCAAAAGTAAATTTGAAATAAATAAAGCGGACCCAGGAATAGCAAAAGCAACAGCAACAGCAACAGCAACAGCAATGGCAATGGCAACATCAGCAATAACAACAACAATAAGCACAACAAAATGGTGTCGTGTTTTATGTGCGCCCTTTTTTGCTGCCATAAAAGGCAACATGTGCCTGGAGACCAAGACGCAGAGACATGGTATGGTCCGGCTCGGTTGGGTTCGTAAATGGCTTGGGCCTGGCCACAACAATGCGAGCTTGCTTTATTTATTTTCGGGCAGCATGTTTATAAGTTGCGAATTATTTTGGCTTTTGGCTCATATTTCATTTGCATTTAATGAGCCCTAAAGCGAATGCCACTGCCACTGCAGCAATGGCTCATAAAAAGTGTTTGCAAATTGAAATTTCAGTGAAGGCCCAGCTCTAATGACAATGGCTAAGCAGGTGCCATACATTTAGTTAACCCGGCCGAGGCGCAATGATGCCAGAGCTGAACACGAAAGTCCGAGGCCCCCAAAAACTGTGCGTGCCAAGATAAGAGGCCCAGAAGATTTATTGCCAACGCAATGAGTTAAGAAAGACAAGTACCTAAGGCAAAAATACAACAACAAGCATTTCATGATGACGATGACGACTTTCTATGTACAACACTAAACGAATCAGGCAACAAGAACAACACCAACAGCAACAACAACAACAGGCAAAGAAAACCGGAATAATAATGATGAAGCTGCCGCATACTGACAAACTAAATGATGGAGAATGATGCCAACGAGCCAAGTCGAGCCTGAAGCAGCTCCATCTGCCTGCTTGTCTGATTGCTGCCTGAGCAGCGAGTGAGTGGAAGCTGTTACTGGAGGAGAGGCGGGGAGCGAAGGCATCCGAAATCGGAAGGTTGGCAGGCAAATAATGGCTGACAGCGAATCGTTGTTGTTTTGCCTGCTGTGCGTGTGTTCTCTAAAGATTATTTCAAGATGGCGCAGCTTTTAAACATGTGCTTACACATACAATACATACATATTCAGATATGTACGTACATATATATGCATGTACATATATATATATGTATTATGTATTGCCTGGATCCAAATGACACTGGCTTATAACGGTACGATTAATTATGACACGTAACAATTCCTTGACTTGGAAGCAAGTAAGAATTATAAAGTGAATAGTTGAGCTTAATATTTTGTACTCTTAGTACTTTCAGTATTAAGTAATACTACTAAATATTATTTTTAGCATTATACATAAACTTTTACTACTACGCTTTATACAAATATTACACCTAATGCAAACAGTTTTACTGCGGTTAACCGTTCCTACTATTGTTGCTAGAACTTTTATTGACAGTACTGATGACACTTTTATATTATTACTATTCCGACTTCTAAAAATCATCTTAATACAACTATAATTACTTTACTACCACTATTTTCTCTTCTGCTGATATCTTGAATGCAACAATTACTACTATCTTTTCTGCTGCTATCTTCACTACGAGGTACTACTACATCTTCAAGTACACCTACTAATACATCTGCTACAACATCTTCTACTACACCTACTACTACACTTACTATACTATATTATACTGTACTATATTATATCTACTACCTCACCTACTATTACCAATGCTGTTGTAAACTTGGCTACCATCATTACTACTATTGCTACTACATACTTATATTATAATATCTGCTGCCACTGTTAATAGTTTTTCGGTACGACTCTTATAATTGTTACGACTAGTACTACGTTTATTCTAATACTTTTAACTACTTTTATTACAACAACAACTGTGTTTGCTATTATTTTTACTATTAGTGCTATTAGAAGCATCAACTCTTCTGTTATTACTGCTTATAGTCCAATGCCTTCTATTAATTTATCATAATATATTACTAACAAAAAAAAAAAAAACCTAAACAAATGTTTGCATTTCGCTCACAGATCATTTGCTGCTTTCCACACATCACCACTTTCAGCTAGTGTCATTGCAGTTGCTGCATATGTATGAGCGTGTTGGCATGTTGCTGATTTTAATTGCTGCCCATATATATTGCTGCTTGTGCCAGGCTGAGCATGATTAACCATAATTAGAGTCGGCATTAATTACGCCAAAAAGTTAATTACGCATTGCCAAAGAATAATGTCATACATTCATGTTGCCGAGTGTGGCGCCTCTGATAACAGCATTCTCAGGCTTCATTCTGTCTCGTCTGGCATTGTTAGTTGCCAAAACTTGAACAGAGTTCAGTTTAGGGACTTCTCAAACACCCCAAACATTTCGTCAGCTGCTCATCCGTTCGTGGGCAAAAGCCGTTTGGCTGTTTATTCAAGCAATTTAATTGCTAATTTCGTGCATGGCAATTGCAATTGCCCACGGTCCATGGCATTAGGGGGGCGATAGGAATGGGGGCTCATGGCACTAATAAAGTTCTTAAACAGCGGGCAGGCAACTTATTAACCCTTTGACTTTGGCGTGCAGACACCCACGCGGTCGCAATAAAATCAATCTTATTAAAACATTAACAGCAGGCAGAATGGGAAATAAAATAAATCAAATGGTTGGCCCCCGTCCCTGAAACGCCCAGACGCCCCCCTCCATCTGGCATTGAACGACGCTTAACGCGGCGGGGTGTCATTCTTCAGCCGCATCTCCGCTACTTTCGCTCTTCCCACTCACCGTTCATCGCTTGCCGCTCCTCTCACTTTATTAGCCTGCCTTCAATCAGTGGCAAGTGAGCCGGCAGCCAGCATATGAAATTCAAATTTGATGGCCACCCTCAACCCGGGGCCAAGGGGCGGCTACGCCAACCCCCCATGGCTGACAATGCCATTTGGGCATTTTGCATAGGACAACACCAACAACAACAATAAGAGCAGCCCTAGCATGTCCTTTTATTATTATTTTTATTGTGCGGTGATTTTCAGCCACCCCGCGCACCACCAGAAAAAGGCGAACGACGGTGGTCGACACCGCCGGGGTGGTCGGGGGCTCGCGTTTGTCATTCAGCGCTCAGTGGGCTGGCCGGTGGGGTGCATATAAATTCGACATAATTTCATTGTAATGAATAAATTGATGGATGGTCCAGGTCCGACCACCTTCCTGCTAAATTAAACACTTGCCAACCGCAAGGCCAAGTCTCCAGGGTCCAACCGAACGGATGCCCATGTTGGATTTGAGGCCACATTCAGGCTCTGTGCATAAATTACAATTTGATTTTTTAATTTGAAATTCTCGAAAACTCATTTGTTATTTATAAATAAAATTTTTGATTCGATTTGTTTTCCATAATTTTTATTGTTCGTTTTATGTTTTTCTTTTGCTTTGATTTAATTTCTATAACTAGTAATGTTAAGTGTACAATTATTAAATATATTTATATTTATATTGTTGACTTTGTTTTTTTTTTGTATTTTTTTTTTATATTTTGTTCTATTTTTTATTTTTAATTTTTTTTGTGATCTATATCTGGATGTTTATACGACTAGACAACTCCTTAAAAACTGCTACGACTTTTGATATAGTTTGTTTACAATACATTTTTGACTTGATCTTGATACGCTTCATTACATATATATATATATATATATATATAAACTTTTAAATATTTGGTATATGTGCTGCCAAAACAAAGTATTTGTTCATATATTGGCATAGTTTTTTGTTGTTTATTTAAATCTGTTTTTTTTTTCTTTTTTTTTTTTAGCTGATGCACATTGGGCAAAGACTTATTGGTTGTGTGTCAAAAATTTTTGCAGATAACTTGAACTTTTTGCTATTTAGTTAATAGTTAGCTAGTTAGTTCATTAGTTAAGAGCGAACTACTTCTTATAAATACAGCTTGCTGCCTATAATTATTTGCTTTATATGTACAAAACACTTAATATTCTACATAGACGTTTGGTTTTTTTTTTCTTTACTTATTTATTTATTTTTTTTTTTTCATTTAAATGAACATAATTGGCATTTAATCTCAATGCAGAAACGCAAAACATAAAACACATTTATCAATTTGTAATTAATTTTTCTGCCTTTCCGACTGCCGCTTAATACCCACTAATTAAAACTGCACAAAAACTCGGCCTATCCCATTTTTTCTGCGTCTGTGGGTTTTTGTTGTTGTTGTTTGTATTATTATTTTTATTTGTTTTATAAATGTAATTATTGTTCTTCAAAAAAGTTGTGTTTCATTTGCTCATGCTGCTTTTGCGCTATTTTTTTTTCCATCTAAAATTTAATTAAATACACTTAATTCTAAAATTTTTTATATTTTTTTGGGCTTTTGCTGGTTTACAATAACAAATCGTTTATTATTTATATTATAAGTACGTTGATTTAAATATTTCATATAACTATATATATATAAAATATATGTATATATATATGTAGCTATCATTTCATTTGTTTATATATACTTAGCAATCGCTCAATCAATGACATCCTCGTCGACATCGTCGCCGTTGTCATTGCCGCTGGAGGCGCCACCGGCATTCGCGGCCGCTGACATTAACCCATTGGCGCCCAATGGCGATTTGTTGTTGTCATCGTTGTGGGTCACTGTGCCCCCGTCATCAGCGCCGCCTCCGCCTCCGCCCCCTCCGCCCAGACCCAAGTCGCTGTGATCCAGCAGTAGGCCGTTGTTGTTGTTGTTGTTGTTGCTATTGTGGCCGTGCAACATATGGTTGTTGTTGTTGTTGTTGTTGGACAAATGCTGCTGCATGGCATTGCCATTGTGCTGGCCGGAGAAGTGCTGCAAGTGGTGCTGGTGCTGATTAAGCAGAGCACCGAGTGCGTTTTCTCAGACAACATCGGTCACGCCATACTGGCAGGCGGACAGTCCGGCGGAGTTGGAGCGCGACACTGGCGATGGCGCCGAATAGGGGCTGCTGAAGCCGGTGGCATGCTGCTTCGCCTTCAGCCGCAATGTGGCAATGCTCGAGGACATGCTGCTGCTCATGCAGGGCTCGGCGGCGGCGCGATACATATACGGATTGGCGGGTGTTGTATACGGACAGGGTGCAGCGCCCACGCCCACATTTGTGTTGGTCAGCGTGGAGCCCATGGAGCCCGGGAGCATTGAATTGTTCATGCTCACGGCCACGCCGCTGGCGCCCGTATTGAAGCAGTTGACCGAGTTCTGGTGATGATTGCTGGTCACCATCGAGCCGAGCGGATTGACCGGCCAGGGGAACGGCTTGGTGCCCAGCGGCGATGGCACCTTGGTCCAGTTGTTGTACGGATACGACGTATACAGCGAATCGTCGGCAAACGGCTGCATGAACTGTGTGCCAAAGCCCGACTTGAAGTCAGCCGCCGCCACAGCCGCGTTCATTGCGTTCCGCTCGCGCTTGCGCCACTTGGCCCGTCGGTTCTTGAACCACACCTGGAATGGAGAGCAAAGGAAAGCAAACAATGAGCTCGAGTTTAGAGACAGACGTGCAGCACTTTGTTAGCAAGTTGGTTAAAGTTTTAAAAGCTTCTGCCACTGCCACTGCCACTGCCACTGGCAACGGCAGCCATTTTCTTTTATTGCGCCTTCGTGCCGCATAATTTATAACAATGCCGCCAACTTGAAAATTTATGTATCCGTCTGTATGCTGACTGTGTGTGTGTGAGTGTGTGTGTGTGAAAAACTCCCCCAAAATGCAGCCCCCGCCGAAATCAGCTCCCATTCTCCATCTCTATCCCCATCTCCATCCCTAACCCCTCACAACCCAAAGGGCGCTGCGTAATACGCATGTGCAGTAATTATAAATACAAATATACATAAATACTGCTGCCATTCTGCTAGCTGGTGTTTCTCTGCTGCGCTGTGGCTGTCTTTGTGCTGCCTTTCCTTTTTAATGGAGAGCTTTATATAAATAAACTCGTCGTGCCACCCCCAACAACAACAACAACAACAACAAAAGACACAGTATACAGCATTCGAGCTGTGCCAGAGGGTTGTGTGTCGGCTGTGGGGAGCGCGGCGCACGAAAAATAAATCAAAATTATTTTGCAAACAAAAAGTACACAAAGCAAAAGCAAAACGACACAAAAAAGAAAAGAAACAAAAGCAAAAGCGCAAAGCAAGTAGATAAAAAACAAAATGGCAACTTTGTAATTTATTGCTGAAGTTTGCGCAGCGCACACAGATACTGAGATACTCAGCCACAGATACAGATACGCATATATAGGGGAATATATATACAGAGATACTGATACGGATACAGATACAGCAAATGACAAAGGCACAGAGCGCGCTGTGCAGACGTTGCCAGCATTTCTGATGAGATTTCTGTTTTCTTTTCTCTTCTTAAAGACTCGCTTGGCCCGGCCAACAAATAGCGCTTTAAGTTTTCCCACCAGTCAGCCATGGGCAAAGGCAAATGGCAAATGGTAAATGGCAGTGGTTCAGGTAATTAAACCAGCTGCAGCCCTTGCGCATTTCATGCAACGCATTTGCCGCTTGTTGCCGCCTTGCCACACTTGTACTTAAATCAACGGGGCTGCAAATTTATGGCCTGCCGATTGCGTAACTAACTGTGGCCACGCGCAGCTCGTATGCAAAAACTGGGCCTAAACGATGCCAACATGCAGCACACAGCATACAGAATACAGCATGAAGCATGCAGCAAGCATGTCGCATGCTGCAAGGTTTGTTGTTTGTTTTGTGGGAACAAAGAGTTTGCCACGAGCCAATTTAATGCGCATTTATTTGCTCGGCAATTGCCCTAATCGAATTAGTTGCGCTAGTTAATTGAAAACGCATGAGCCAGGCCAAATAGAGCTGTAACTAAAAAGTTTGGCAGCGTGAGAAAGGCAGCTTCAAGCTGCATGCAACCTTTGGCCGGCGCATAAATCACAGGCGGGCCAATTTCAATATCCCCCCCTCCGCTTGCCAGGGCAATGTGTCAATTTGTCAAGGTACATTGCTCAGTTGCTGCAGCTTCATCATCATCATCATCATCATCATCAGCATCGGCATCGGCATCGGCATCATGATGATGGCAAAACTAACGTCATCGATCTCGTCAACTGTCATTTTCACGTATCATTTAGCAAGTTGTTGAAGTTTGGGCCAATAAGTAAAAAAAATGCCAACGTTTGCATGATGGCAAATTGATGTGACTGCAGAGAGAGACTACGAAAAAAAGTAACAAAAAATACATATAGATATGCGCGTGTGTGTGTGTGTGTGTGTGAAAAACCAGCGCAATTTTCCACTCAACGGGCAGGCACTTCAGCCAGCATCCAGCATCAACCAGCATCCAGAGCTGACTCAAGCAGAAAATCCTAATTGGTTTTGATGAAAGCGTCAATGACACCTCCTACCGCTGCGCTTCCCTGCCCCGCCTGCATCTCTCCTATGTGTTGCGCTGCGCTTCATCAGGTAAAGTTGTTAAAAAACAAAAAGTAGACAGTCTTTTTTTTTCATTCTTTTTTTTTTGGTACGCTCGCACTGTCAATGTGACCATGTGGCAAAAGTTATGGAACTGAGGTGGCCTTTTTTTTTAGCTAGGGGTCTTTTCTTTGAGTGAAGAGCTGCCATTTTGATTGATGGCCACAAATTGCAGCTAAATACGTTTTTTATTTGCTTAATTCTTGTTGTTGGTGCTGGCGTTGCCATCGCCGTTGCCGCTGCCGTTGCCGTTGCCTTTGTCGTCCAAGTGGGCCCTCATACTAGCGGGGCAGCGCTTGGACAGCATGAAATTGAAATTGAAGTGAACATTTTGATTGCAAGCAATATTGATAAGCATTACGAGACCCAAAGGGCGTAACGCCGTTGATTGCTTGCTTATGAGAGCTAGCCTCTCAGCAGATAATTATTAAGCAGCTCTCTAGATAAAATTAAATCAAGATAAAATGATAAATGCGATGTTTAAATATTAATAAAGAGTTAACAGCTTTATCAAGATAGTCTTTTGAATTTTTAAAGCTTTGTAATCCCCGCTGCCTAAATATGCTTAAAGTGTAAAGAGCTTCGGATTATGAGTTCCTTTTCGACTTAACTAATCAAGCTTTTTTTTGTATACAGCTTTTTTTACAGCCTGTTGATACGATTGTGGAGTTGATTAATGAAGAGGTTGAGTTTAATTTTAGTTGAATTTTTAATATTAAAAATACAAGTTATTTGTTTCCCTAGAATCAATTAGAACTCAATTCTGTTTTGTTCCCATTCGAGCTCTTAACTGCCCATATTGTGGCACCTTTATGGCCATTTCTTTTTATGCCGCCACTGCAATGGCTTTTCTATAGACAGCCAAATGTTTGTTTGTTTCCAGGCCATTGCCAACACCTGACCATAATAAAAAAAAAAAAAAACAGGGAGCAGTTCGTGCTGCGATTTCAATTGCAATTTTTCCACTCTGCCCCATTGGGTGCTCAACAAATGCTTGCGCGAGTCTGTCTATTAATTGAATGAAATGCATTTGTATTTCAGTAATGCTTTAAAAAATAGAAAAAGTCAACCTTCGGCAGACAAGCGAACATATTGCCATAATTGCCGGCGCATGTAAATCCTCAGATTAGTAGCTATCAGGGATGTCCGTCCAAGAAGCAGCCACATTTCCTGCCTAGCTCAGCTCAGTCGCAGCGACTGCTTTGTTTGCCCAGACGCTGCTGCTCTTTTCCACTTTTCTCTTTTCCGTTTCTCTTCTTTTTTTTTTTGACAATTTTAAACCCACCCAGATTTATACATATATAGGTATATGTATGCGCGTCGAGCGAGCTGTAATCCTTTTGTATATTTGATAAATTTTATTGCCTACGCTATTATTGCAGTCAAATGTTATTTTGCCTTTTACTAACCCCCCGCCCGGCCCCTCGTACTCCTGCCCCTGCAGAGACAGCAGCACGATCATGATCATTAATTCTCATGCGGTTTCTAATTCATTAAACAACCCTCGCGGTCTCGCTGCCACACAGAAACTCATCCAAAGCTGCTGACAAATTGCCTCGCATTGTTTTGCATTTTATCGCGTGGTTGGGGTGTTGGCTGCTGGCTGCTGGCTGCTGGGAGGGTTGCAGTTGCCCCCAACCCCTTTGCCATCAGCAAACCTTTTGTCATCATATAATGGACCATAAAACAAACTGTATCAATATTTTATGCATTGAGCGCAACACATGTTTAGATTGACATAATTTCCCAACTCCAGCCGGGCAGGGCTGCCCTTCCTGGTGTCAGACACTTGTTTCCGGGCCGCCGCAGCTAATTTCTTTATAGTGGCCCCGCTCAAGTGCTGTGCTAGACCGAATTTCAGACATATGCCCAATAGTAGCATTGAAATTTGCATAGAAAAGCCATGAAATATAATTTGCTCTATTGGTGCCAGCAATTTGTCAACAGTTTTTGTACTCGTTCTGTAGCTGCCAGATGTGTTTTATATATGTCAGCTAATTGCATTTCATAAATGTATGAAACGTTACCCATTGGCGTTGTGTCGCCAATGCCCATCAATACAGCCGATGATGATGATGATCATCAGCGTGATCGATCAATCCGGGGCAAGTCGAGGCGCTGTCCCCAAAGTCATATCTAAAGTGTATCTCTGTCGTGTCGCTGTCGCAGTCGCTGTCTTGCCTGACTGTCTAACTGACAGACTGGCACAGCGAATTGATATCTATATAGATATAATATAGTTATCGGCCGGCTATATACATATGTATGTGTTGGCTACGCATATTTGCCGCTTGGCGCCACCTATGTGCATACAACTCCTCCGATTGTTTACCAACTATCGTTTACAAACAATTACAACTGTTGTGCGTGTGTTGCTTTCTACAATCAACTCCCAGTTGCTTTCTTCCTCTCTCTCCCCTCGCGCTGACTCGGCTGCCTGCAGTGACTATCTTGAGTTGCTTTGGTCATACAAATGCTTGAGGCTGTCAATAGCTGTTGGGCTATTGGCGTGGCATGTTCAAATAGCGGCGGTGGCATTTTGATAAGCCACGCGTTCTCGGCCCAGTTTACACAGCGAGCGGGCCATAAAAATATTGCCCCGTTTCGACTGCGGCGGCTGTTGCAAACTGCGCCAAAGTTTTAGCCGCAATCGAGGCGGCAATTTATGGCAACTTTGCGCCATGGCCACTGCCCACTGCCCACTGCCCGCTGTGGCACTGCAATGGCTAAGCCCGAAACAGCGCACCACCCAACCCACTTGACTGTGGATGCAACATAAATTTACTGCAGCAACGGAGCGCAAAATGGCGACGGCTTTTTTGGCCAGTGAGCGTTTAAGCCGCGCGAATTCAAACGGCAAGAGAGAGAGAGGGTGTCCATGTGTGTGTGTGTGTGTGTTGGGGCAGGAGCATATTTACGAGTTGGCGCTGGCATTTTGTTTGTGCTGCTGCTGTGTGCATTCGTATTGGTGGCAGCTACGTGCTGCGGTTGCATTGCGGTCATTTTGGCTCAGTCGCCGTTGCCGCCGCAGTAATTGCCGCATAATTGCACAATACACACACACACATGCACACATGCACATATGCACTCCTGCACACACATACAGACGCACACAATTGTTGTTTACAATTTGCGGCTTTGATTGTGCAATTAATATGAAATGGGAATTGAATTACTCACCCGAACTCTGGCCTCGGTTAGATTGGTCCACATGGCGATCTCCTCACGCGTCGACATATCCGGATAGCGATTACGGCTGAACGTATGCTCCAGCTCCTGCAGCTGCTGGGAGGTGAAGTGCGTGCGCTGTCGTCGCTGCCGTTTGTTCTTCTTATCGTTCTTTGGCTCATCGGCGCTGGTTGTCATCGGCTCATCGTGTCCAGAATTTGATATGTTCTCCGTTTTAATTGTGGTCTCATTGACGCTGCGATTGCCTATAAACAAAATATCTGCATGAATAACCTCTTTTTATGGTATATCTAGAATCTGGAAGTCAGTTAGCATTTGGATTGCGTCCCGCTGCCGTTACTCATTGCCATGCAACCTTTAAGTGACGCCAAGCCCCCAATCGAGCTCACCCCAACACCAACTCCAAGTCCAACTCCAAGTCCAACTCCAACTCCAACTCCAACTCCAGCTCCCACTTCACAGCCCATCCCCACTTCCGCGCCGTGCGCCAGGCACTTCAAACGGGGGCCGCCGGCAAAGCTAGCCTAGTTTTGGGCTGCTACCAGATTTACAACCCGTTAATGTGTGTTCCGCGCATGTCATCGATCATGGCGGTGTGCTCTCCCTTTGTTGTCGCTATTGTCGCTATTGTTGTTGTTGTCGCTGCCGTTGTCGTTGTCGCTGCCGAACACCGAAACTTAAGCAAATAAGCTAAATGACTGCCCATATGAAATATCAGTTTCGGTGGCTCGACAACGTCGTCATCAAGTCGCAAATCAATGCAGTCTAATCGAAAACTAAACGGACGCGAGTGAGTAAATTTTCGCCGACAAAGGCCAAGACTCAACTCAACCCAGTCAACCAGTACACCCCACCTCCGCCTGCCTCTGTCACTGCCCCTACCACTGCTCATAACCACTGCCCCAATCACAATTATAACGTGCCACCCATTGGCCATGCTTTCGAAAATTATTATAAATTATGTTTCTTATCGATTAACACTCGCACGTATAAAATCAATAACCAGTCACTCGGCGCAGTCACTCCACAGTGCTACGGGTAGTTCGGCCGGCCTCATACGATTAGCACGAGAGATTGCTCACCAAATCTAATTTTAGTGATCTCAGTTAACATTGATAATCTGACTAATCTTTCGAACAGTAGCTGTTTGAAAGTTCGGAGTCCAATTGCTCTAGCTAAGCTTTAGTTGAGATTGTAAGATTGTCAAATTGCTTATATAAGCTCATAAAACAGCTCTTATCTCATAGATTGTCTTAATCAATTGCTGTCTACTTACCATCTTTGCGATCCCGACTTCGATTCGTTAGGGTTGACGATGACGAAGTTTGAAAGTTATTTAGGTGTGTGCTATCCAAACTATTTGCTACGGCGGTCATGGAGCTATGACTATCACGAAAATCACCGGTTTCGGCCCAAACTGAAAAGAATAAACCAGCAAAGGGCACAGAAATATACAAAAAATTAATGTTTTAACATAACGTTTTAAAGGTATTCAAGGGAATAGTGTTACGCACAAGATGCGCCTCCTGAAAGAGCCATAAACGGATTTATGGCCCCGCCGGCAGTGGAACAGTTTTAAATGGGCTTTTGGTTAGCTCGATTAAGTGCACGAGTGTCTGGTCTTCTCAGCTGAGAGCCAGGACTTTGTGCGCTAGTTAATTGCTCCAAGGAGCGAGCATTATGAAAACTTAAGGCCACAGGGCCTCCTTTGCCCGTTATATATGCTTGCATAAGTGCGGGATAAAGCTATTAAGACGAGTCTTGCTTCATAAATCGAACTCAAATGAGCCGTGCGCTGGGCTACCCTATAATACATAATTGCTGTAATTATTGCAGTTAGTCACGCTGAATTTCATATTAATTAGTCAGCCTTTGACATCTTCCCTCGAATGCAGATTTATGGCCAGACAATTGATATTCGGTTTTTGGGGTCTGCGCACCTTGAGGTGTGTGCCCATATGGCAGAGGTCCCGACTTCCTGGCCATCGCCAACTAAATCTTATGGACTTCCTTCGCCAGCTCGTTGCCTAATTTATGGCCTTTTCACATGTTGTCAGTTTTATGTGGTTTTTAAAGTGCCTGCCAGGCTGCCTGACTGCAAACACCCGCTGCGACATTTTTGTGAAACAATTAGCTCGATGCTGGTGTGAAACCCGGAGGGTACTTGGGGGTAACATTAATGTTTCGGATCCTAAAGGCAACCACTACTCTCTCTCTCTCTCTCTCTTTCTCTCTATCTATCTCTGTATTCGGCAAGTGTGTGCAGCTCAATTAATTATTTGGTATTTTCTTTAATTTATGCTCTTAACAATGGCACGCTATAGGGTAGACATTCAGTTATCCATAATGTGTTTGTTTTCAATTAATTTATATTTTTAGCAAATCATAGCAGGGATTTGAGTTGTATTCCCTTGCGAGTAAGTAGTGATAAGCAGATGTATTATTCGCTATATTTTATAATGAATAATAGAAGGATTACTGTCTTAATTAAATCTAAACATTCAGTATGACTTTGACAATTAAGATCTGCAAACGGTCTATATGCTAGACACAAAAAATAATTTTATCATAGACTTTTATATAACGAAAGCATACTTAAAACTCATTATATGAAATATCTATTACAACACAATCGCTTAAATTTTGAGGCTGGTTTTTAAATCTCAGTCTCAAGTTCACAGACTGCTAAATATAAAAATCTCATAGACTGAAGTATATGTCTGTATATATTTATTTTGGAACTATATATTTCCTGATTACTCAATGTCTGTATCATATGCAGTCGTCGTTTTTTTTTTGAAGCAAGTTTTTTAATGATCCGATCGCCCCTTAAATACCGAAATGCTTCTTAATAGCCGCTGCTGTAGTGTTGTTGTTCTTCTGCTTGGTGCTTGGTTCTTGTTCTTGTTGTGCCCGATTTCAACCTGAGCATGTGCCGTGAAATGGGTCGCCAACGTCATCTGTGCCGTACGCCCCCTAGCCTCTCCATTGGATGGGAAATATAAAAATATTTTCTTAACGATGCGCTCTAAAAAACGCAGAGAAAAGCACGTACCGCAGCGATTTTTATTTGTTTAAATATTTTGTACAAATTTTCCTAATTTTCCGACTAATTTGAATTTGGATTTTTTTATATTCTGTCTTTTCATCTCAAATGGAAATAGTTGTCGTCTGTCAGTTGGCGTTGACATTTTGTTGGCGCAGTTGTTGCGCGAGTTTTACAATGTTTTTCAAGGTTCGCGGCATGTGAGAGTGGCAAGTGTCAATACGAATGGCTAAGCAAGTGTGTCTATCTGGTGGGCGTTGCCTGAACATTTTAGCCATGTCAACAGTGCGCTGTGACAACAAGTGTCAACCGAAGTCTCAGCATCAGCATCAGCCTCACCGTCAGCGTCAGTGTCAGTGTCTTTAGTCATATTATTATTGTCGGCCATTTTGCAGAGGCGTTTAAGCAAACAAATGAGCGAATCGCTGAGCCAAGCCCTAAAAATAATAGCAATACAAAAGTCAATACACACCCCTAGCAGAGGGCGCAACTATTAATCATGCTGCAAATATGATCGTGCAGAAAAACGAGAAATAAATGTTTGCCCAAGCAATGATTTTGATTTTTATATCCTGCACATTTGGCCATTTGTCGCATTCATTCATAAACATTTTCCACACACCCGTTTTCACAAAAACTTTGACACACGACACGGCAAGGCAAGGCAAGTCAAGGGAGCCGTCGCCAGAGAGAGCCAGGCAGCTATAAATTATCCAGCCCGAGCACTGTCACAGCCCAGGCGCAGGATGCGGAGGACCCAAACCTAGACCAAAACAAACAAACAATCGTGCACACAAAAGGCAACCAGCCCTGGCCTGGCCGTGTACATTTCTATATATGGGAAGCTGGACAAAACGTACGCCCCGAGAGCGCGTCCTTTGACACGAAGCACAACCCAACGAAACTAAAAAAAAATGAGGAAGAAAAATGCCAACGTTTACTTGTAGCATTTTGTGACCAAAAACAAACGATTAATGTGACAGTTGAATTGGGATGCGCAAGCAAACACACACACACACACATACACACATGCAGTTATAGCAAACACAGATACAGCTCTAAGCAGTAATCGGAATTGGAATCCTTTGGTCAGAGCGTTGGACCCTTTTTTCCTACTGTTTGCTGCTGCTTCTGCTTCTGTTTTGACAAGTTAGTTGCTTTCATTGTTCTCCCAAAATTAAACCACTCGGCTGCGGGGAGGTTAGAAAAGGGTTAAACGCTGCGGTTGCTCGCCACATAAATACACCAGATATAAACATATGCATATACATAAATATATATCTATATAATTTTCCAATTTCACGCTACATTTGCTCGGGGCAAACAGAAAGTGTTAATATGCGACAGGTTCTTGTGGGCCATATGTTCATATTGTCTTCTGTGTGCCGAGATGTCACTGAGATCGAAATGAGTGAGAGTCCCCCATTTGAAATTAGCCGAAAATGCTGTAAAAATTAAGTTCGAGGGGTAAAACTTAATTTCTATACGAGCCTCAAGCCAAGCACGGGTGTATCACAACAATCCACAAAGTTAATCCTTTATAGTTGCTTTTGTGCAAGCCAGACAATGACAATGGCCGTACGTGGGACGTGGGACGTGGGACGTGCGACGGGAAGGACATACGTTATGGCCATATAATGAGCTTGGCCGGACTTGGCTGGAGCGCACACACACATAAAAATCACTGCAATAACATTGACATGGCCCCAAAGTCCAAGCCCAACGAATCCCGGCCAGACATGCCAGCCAAAACCAGCCAGCTAGTCAGCCAGTCAGCCAGTCAGCTAGTCAGGCAGTCCGGCGAGCTCATTAGCCGACGTCCTGCAGATAAGGATAAGACATGCAGACCCCAATAGCAACTGTCGTTGCTCTGCTTCACTACGCTGGCCTCGAGTTCCGTTGTAGTTTTCCACTGCAATGCCTTTTCCGTAATTTTCTCGACTGTCAGCTCAAATTTTGGCTCCCGTTGATGCCGTTGGGTCATTTGCCCAGCTGCCCATCTGCTCGACCGGTTGCCCGCTCGCCCAGCCAGAAGTCTGGGCATCGCCTGGCCAGTCCGTGCAAGTTTGTTGCCTCAGATAATCTCTAATGCGACATTTTTACGAAATTGCACGATACGGATAATGAGAAAGAGGCGGCTGTGGAGTACCAAAGAAAACCCGTAATCGTAACCCAAACTTTCGCAGCGAAGTTTTCCAGTGAGCTGCGCTGTAATTGCGGTCGTGGTCGAGTTGTGGCTATCGCCGGAGCTGCAAGAGGGGGGCGGACACAGCCAAGCCAAGTGGGGGAGTTGCTTCGTTGCCATAATGACATTATAATTTATATAAACGAAATCAGTGCCATCTGACAAAGAGAGAGAGAGAGAGAGAGAGAGAGAGAGAGAGAGAGAGAGAGAGAGAGAAAGACAAAGAGACAGAGAGTAAGACAGAGCAGCCACATGTCTAGGTCTGTGCACCAGGATTGATATATGGGCAGTTTTTGCTCTGCCCTTACAGCTCGCAGCACTCCAGCTGGAGATGGCGCAAAAACTAGAAGTGGGCGTCACCAATGGGTGATTATCATTGGTGCGGTCGTCCACAATTTATGGGGTGTTTGCTTGGCAATTGTACAGCGATCTTTGTTTTTGCCTTGCCAATTGAGTTCTCTGACATATGTGCGCAATTTTCCAGAGATTTGCCCGAGAAAATGCACTGATGATGAAAATTGCTTAAAGTGCCAGCATAACAGCAGCAGCAGCAGCAGCAGCAGCCACATCCTTAAAGATACAAATTACAAAATGGCTGGCGAGTAAAAAATCGATAAAACGTATTTATATTCATAAAGAAATTTTGAGACATGCCACATGCCACATGCCACACGTTGAATTTAAAGTAGCCGCACAGGCCGCACAGGCCGCACATCCTTGAGCAAACTGAGGTTATGTATCTGTATCTGTAGCCGCGTCGCATATGCGCTCTGATCTTTTAATATTTCCCTCAGTAGACTGATTTTGGGCTACGTTTGAAAACAGATTTTGCTGTTCTGATATCCTGCTCTACATTGAACATTTTCAAGCTATACTTTTAGATTTATTTTGTATACTTTCCCAGCTTATATTTTCCATCTGAATATCATATATCTCTAAATACTCAAATCTACTCCTTGAATCACTTTCACATTAAAGACCTCTATTTCATCTGCAAATTATCTAAGCCTAGAGTAAATTCTGAGACGGCTTGCTTATGCCGAATCTGGAGCTGCACGTGCCATTAACACTTTATGCCAGGCACTGGCCAAATAAACAACCATTCAAACAACAACACCGACTTAAGTGAAATGCCACACAGATGTATGTCTGTATGTGTGCATGTATGCTACAATATACATATATGAACAGCAGGCACATTAGATAACAAGATTTCATCAGAAAAGTCGAGCAGAAAATTCTCGCACTCTGAGCCACAGTTAGAGATACAGATACACGTAGTGATACAGATACAGATAGAAGTATAGCTAGAGCTACACTTAGATACAGCCGGCAATTTCATATTTTATCAAGGGCTACAAACGGCAAACATTGTCGTAGGCAAATACTAGCTCTACCATATCTATGCGTGTATCTGTTTCTGTTTCTGTAACAACTTGGCAAACACGCAAAGGACTCGGACTCGGACTCGTAATAATAAACAATAAACAAAAAGACAAAAACAACAACAACAACAATAAAGGTGTAGCTCAATGCTGTATTATTTGCATAGCAGCCAAAATGTAAACTGCTCTGATTTTGGTTTGTTGTATGTGCTTTCTTTGTCTTTGCTCTGCTCAAATAAGTAGAGCTCATTTAATTTGTTTTTTTTTGTTTTTTGTTTTTGTGATATTTGTGACCAGATAAGTGTCTAATTGCCGCTGCAAGTGAGCGATGCAAGGTCGCAGGATAATGCTGCGATTCGGGTTTCATTTCATAAAAAATGAGCACAATCGGCTGTAGTTAGTAGAGGGATATATAGCAGAGCGAAAGCTCTTGAGCATTCGCGCTGGCAGCTGTTGACAACATAATTCAGCTCGCTAGACAAACATGGCCAGCTGCCAGTCGTTCAGCAGCGACATTAAAGAGTTGTAGTCCGGGGTATTAAAAAGCATTAACTTTTTATTGTTTTACACGCTGCATCTCGCATACACATATACAACAATAATAAAAGTGTATAAAACTTGGGGTAGAAATTACTGTACGTGAACTTGAAATCCTTTGAGCGCAAAATTTCAAATAAAAACACGCACAGAAGCCATAAAAATATATTTTAAAATATATAGAAAAGCAAGCAACTAAAACGAATTCAAAAGGTGCGACTGACTGTGTGTGTGTGTGTGTACGTGTCTATGTGGCTCATAAAAAACTGCAATAATAAAAGCAAAACAAACACCAACGATTCCACACACATATAAATACTTGCGCAAATAGAACTTAAGTTTCAAAAAAATGTCTGTGGTAGAAGAAGAGGTGCGGCAAGCAGAGCTAACCATTAAATTGGCCAATAATTGAAAATCCAATGGCAATTGCAGTGTGCAGCGGGCCAGCAGACAGCGGGCACGTTGTCCGACCATTATTTAAACAAGAGCGTAAACAATAACGACAACAACAATAGCAACAGACTGAAATTTGTTGCCAACATCGTCCGCACCTGCAGCTCCAACTGTCTGTGTCTCCCTCTCTCTCTGTCTCTCTCTGTGTGCGTGTGTGTGTCCTGGTGTGCATGTCAAAGGATAACTGCACTCGTGCATATTTTAAATGCGCACAATTTTTGTGTTAAATTGTTTTGGCACGCAAATAAATGGCCAGGCAGCTGCGACCACAATGCCAACCGCCATGTGCCCCGCCCACTTTACTACTGGATAGCTGCAGAGTGCAAAGTTTGTGAGGCTGTTAACCCGGCAGAGGCAGGTGCTTAGGGCATCGGTTCAAAGGGGACAGCTAACAAATCTCTCGGCTAAGTCAGACAAATTCTTATGCGATGCTTAAACAAATTCGTTGCATTCATAGACGTCATGCCGAAAGGGAGAAAGCTTTGGATTAAAGAAATGGAATGCATATATGCAGATGTAGATATGTAGATCCAAAATTATGTTTAATTAGGGAAATTGAGACCAATTTCGTAAAAACTAAAATGATGTTCAAAGGGACTTGGATATTATTTCCTAATTTACTGGTATGTTATAAATATAGGAATTTGGCATTATATGATTATTATTATTTTAACTAAAAAAATTTGAGGATTGATATTTGAAAGTCAGTTGTAGATCGGAGTTCTCTTTTAAATGCGGATCTGCTACGTCGCTATGCTTAACTAAACCAATTTTATAAGATTAAAATATTATGATTAAGGTATTACCTAGTTAAGGGGAATATATTTTACATTTAATAAACTTATTCAGCTTGTATTTATTGCATTTAAAAACTTCTCAAGCCCAATATCATACTCATTCAATGCAATTGAGAGATCATCTCGAGCATTCACCTAAGCAACATATTGCTTGTCTTTCCGCTTCCAAATTCCCATAACAATTAGCCTAAACGGAACAACAAACACTTGACTACAATACACATATCAAATTTCCAGCCATCGAACGACCCTCGGAGCTGACTTCGCAGCATCACAGAACAGACAAATGAAATTGGGAACGGGAAATCGAATGGGAAATGGGAACAGTGTTGCCTTCGGCACTACGCCAGAAGGGTGCTCAATTAGCCATGACATGCGCAGCAAAAGTGAAATTTGTTTAGCTCTTCTTCTTCTTCTTCTGTATTATTTCCCATTTTTTTCATGTATTTTGTTGTTGTCGTTCGCCTTTGTTACGCTTTTATGAAGATTATGCGCTAATGATTACACAATGATTATGAATATGCATGAGGCGTGGATGTTGTCACAGAATTACATTGGCAGTTACAGTGGCTGTGACAGTGGCAGAGGTTGGTTGGGGTTTGAATAGAGTCGACAAGTGGCCAGCAGGAATTTTTGCACATTGTTTAGAAATTTACGAGCATCGCATGAATGATGAAGTACAAGAGTATTGAGAGCGTGAATGATTGCCATAGCGGATGAATATTGAAATGCCGACAGCTGTTGCTGACAGTTGCAAAAATACGCAATGAATACGAGTATGTGAATGTTGACACTTGTTGAAGATGCGACCAACAATATGCAGCACACACACACGCACCCACACACCCACACACATGCACAGACATATGTATATTTATATATAAATTTGAAGCTTCATCGAGAATATCACGCATACGCACCGCATAACTGCGACGCTCTGTGAAATATGGCCGCATTAATTACTTGTAAATTTGTTAGATGCTCAGCGAGCGGTTGACTAGTCCCCCAATTTTCCGACAAATAAATTGTAGAACAAATTGTCCAAGAAATTGACTTGGGTGCGAGGCCCTGCCCAGCTGGCCCCATAAACTGTAGCAAAATGATGGGGATCGCCTCTATTCGGTACTTACTTCTGAGTTTCTCGAGCGGCTCGTGCTTCGGTGTGTGCGGCGGCACAACGGCATGATGCGGATGCTGCGGATAGCTGCCGACCAGATCCTGACCGGCGGCCGTGTGATGCAAGTGACTGAGACTGCTGATGGGCATCAGGCTCGAGATGGCGGGTGAGATGCTGACCGAGGAGCTGGAGTCGTGGAGACTGTGATGGCTGTGCAGATGCTCGGCACCGGAGGCGCTGCTGCCGCCACCGTTGACAGTGGAGCTGCCACTGCTCAGCGCTGTGCTTGTGGTGGTGGCGCTCTCCGCCGAGCCCGCCGAGCCGGCGCCATTGGCGGTGCCCGCGCTGACCAAGTCCTGCAGGCAGAGGCCTGTCGATTCGGCGGACATGGCCTCCAGGCCGTTGAGCGCACCGCTGACAAGGCCACCGCCACCACCGCCGCCCGCAATGCCGCCCGGACCGAGGGCGGTGGCCGAGCTGGTGACGACACCCAGGCCGCCACCAGCAGCACCACAGCCGCCGGCGCCGGCGCGGTCCATGCCTAAATATGTCGGAAAAATGGTGGAAAAGCTCTGGGCGACAGCCTGGTGCGGCTGATGGTGATGATGCAGCGCGGACTGCTGGTGCGCTGGATGCGCGGGATGCAGTGGCGGCAAATGATGATCCCTGCCGTTGAACTTCGTCGTGACGACGTCCTTAAAGTGTTGCAAGAATGTCGTCGTCTTGAGGCCGGTATCTTCCAACTGTGGCGAAAGCAGATCCAAATTGCAGCTGTTCCTGAGCTCTGCGGCGGCTGCGAAGCGCGCTGCGATGCTGCAATCACAAAAGACCAGAATACAACAAGTGTTAGCTGGCTGGCATTCAATTTCTTTTAATTGTATTCATTATCGCAATTACTTTCGCTCCAGCTCTATCTTTATGTATCTATATCTACTTCTGCCTCTGTATCGGTATCTGTAACTGTATCTGTAACTGTGCCTGTATCTCGGGCTGCGGCTACCTGGCAGCTGTAGCAAAGCGCTTTCTGTTTTTTTATCACTTCGAGGCAAACAGTGAGCTTAACCCAAACACCAGGCAACGGCAACTTAACACCAAAGACGTCAAGGGGTTAATACCACATCAGCACCAGCAACATCTCAGGCTAGAGCTGCCGATGCCGATGCCGACGCCGACGCCGACGCCGCTCCCGATGCTGTGCCCTGTAACCAACCGACTGGCTGTGGCGCGGACCACGAGATGTGGCGTTGGGGCAATCGTAAATCGTGGAGGTTTCCCAGTGGCGGGTGCCGCGCTTGCCGCGCTCGTCGAGACGTTTGCGACTTAAGTTGACAACGCGGGCCACTACATGGACGGCAGAGATTCCTACACCTACACGTTCTTATCAGAGGAGAGCGGGAGCGGCAGAGAGCTTGCAAAGATAAGAAGCTGCTGCTTATCAATGTAACAATATTTACATTTCTGTGAATTTTTTCTTTCGCTTTGGGTCTTTTTTATTTTTATTACCGCTGCAGCCGCACAGACGCCGTGTTGAATTTGGCAACCGAGGCGGGTGGGCAATAAACTCAGACGTAGCTCTTAATAAATTCTCTTAAAATAAATATGAAACTTTCAAAAGAAAAAGAAGAAACAGCAACGAATCACTGACAGCGGTATAAAAATAGACAGAAATGTTCGTAAATCAATTAGTTGTGGCCAATTACTGGAACTATTCCCGGTAAACTAGTTGGCGCTAAGTAAACGCGATTCACGATTCGAGTTTCGCTCAATTCTGATCGCGGCTGGCACATTTGTGCGCTATCAACGAAGCCAAACAAAGCGCGCGTTGCAATAAATTCTTATCTAATCTCAATCATAACAAAAATAAAAGCATTCAAAAAAAAAAAAAAAAAAAAAATAGAAGAAAAATAAACTAAATAGTTGTAAAAAATTTCATAAATTATACGGCAGCAGCGCAATAAAAAATAAAAAAATATATATATGAAACATTAAACAGAATTCTTAACTTTCCAGTCGTAAATCCCAAAGATACAGGAGACATCTAATGTAATCAAATATTTATTTGCCATATTTATTTGTCAGCGCCTGCCTTAAATTATGCTGAATGTTTTTTTTCTTTTTTGCCTTTCGAAAAAATTTATTAAATTTCAATTTGATTTGTCACTTTCGATTTCGATTTCAGTTGTGCCTCAAATTGAAAATTTATACTTGATAAAGCCGCATGATCTGCACTTGATCCCCAGTGGATTAGTGTGGCTGTAATATTAAATTGCCTTGCGGTTGTTTTAATAACAATAATAAACATAATTTCACATTAAACAGATTTATATAGCCATGTGCCACAGCGCTTTGCTTATTTATGGCCACACGCAATTTTGCCTTAATTTTTTCTTTTTTCGTATGTTTTCTATTTTTTTTTGACTTGATTTGTTTTTGTTGTTTTGTTTGACGTGTCGCTGGAGATGAAAAGTTTTGCATTTGGCATTGTTGTCATGAGGCGGGGCATTGAAAAATTGTTGTCAATTCGTGCGGCATCATTTGTGGCATATTTATATGCCGCACTGCATATAAATATTATACTCTGTTTGCTTTTCTTCTTTTTTGTGGAATATATTTTGTTTAATTTGCCTTTTTGTCAAGTCATTTTATTTCAGAAGTGAGAATTTATTTACATAATGATTTTCTAAGACAAAGAATGCCCGAAATTATTTTATGCCACTTTATTGCCGCAGCTTTTGGCGCTGTTCTCCCCACTTTTTGTCGCTTCTTCGCTTCGCGGGACCGCCGACTGTCGCAGCTTCTATGCGGCAGCGGTTCAGCTGCCCTCTGCACCGGTTCTGTTATCGGTCGCTGGCAGAGCAAATAGCAAATAGTTATAGCCGTAGGTGCCAAGATTCTATATTCTGTGCTCTGCCAAGGGCATTTCTATTTAATTTTATAAATGTATTTCAATTTCAATTTAATTTCAACATTTGGCTCCCTCTTTGAATATCTCTGTTTGTATACTTCGGGTTTTTCCATACCAAACAAAATTCAAACAGACAAAAAAAAAAAAAAAAAAAAAACCAAATTATAATAACAAATTCGCATTTAATTGTTCATGTGACGTCAATGGCAGTTAGCATCTTAGCTCACATTTTCTGTGCCCAGGCCCCCTTACAGAATGAATGTGAGACAGTTTATGGTTGCACTGTCTGACAATTACGAGTTGATTTATGTTTGGCGTGAGAGTGCAGCTCACTAAGCTCTAGTTCAACAAGTTTTCTTATAACCAGCTTTAGGACTTAAGTTTATTTTCGGGAGCTTTTGGCATTGCTATTTTATCAAGCAGTCAGAGCCTTTGCCTCTCTGCGAATGATCAAACAGTGTTAAGAAGCTGCACATTGAAAATTTGTTTGAAGAGCCCCAATGTTTACAATTTCTGTGTAGAATTTCTCTATCGTTAGACTCGTCAAAAAATACTGAATGTATTATATATATTTTATATTAATAAAATTACAATTATTATATGGAATTCATTCGAAATCATATATAGTTTTCATGTTATAAGTTTTTAAAGAAATTATTCAAGTAATCCCGCAATAAATATCTTAAATAAACATAAACATCATCTCTCTGTGCTCTACGAAAAATCTCTTTTATCTATTTATAAGATCCAATCATAAACTATAATATTTGGTTTATTGGTTGACTTTTTTGAGAATCACTCACCTCTCGTTATGTAGAAAGGAATTCAAGTTAATCCACTTGCTAGCGCCGTCAATTTGACTGCTGGAAATGATCCACTGCTCCGAATATGGATACGATTACGATTTGGATTTGAACTTTCGTCTTTGTTTTGTTTGTTAGTTTAGAGTTTAGCACTTGAATGAATGTGGGCCAAATGTTGTGCACTTTGCAATAAATCAAATTGCTTTCATTTGAATTTCATTAGTTGGCTGACGCGAAAATCAAGAAAATTCCCTATGAACGGGAACGAACTGTCGCGTGGGTTGCGTCGGCTATAAATCTTTTAGAATCTTTGAGAAGTTGTCGGGAATTTATTGATAAATGAGATACCAAAATTTTCTCTGCGCTTTTATTATTATTATTGCTATTGTTGTTGTTTTTATTGTTGTTGTTGCTGCGATTGCAACAGATTTGTGTGTTGTTTATATTTTCGATGACTTTCGATGGCTAATCAAGAGCTAAAACATTTAAAGCGCTTTTTATAGTTTGCACACAATTTGGCATCGTTTGTTATTGTTGTTGTCGTTGATGTTGATGTTGTTGCACACGCGTGTGAGCGAGACGGCAGCTCAGGTTCAAATAAAAATCACAGTGATTATGTTAGTGATTAATTTTAAGTAACTCATGGATATGTTTTTAATGCGACTTTGATGCCAGCTCGTTGCCGTTATAGCCTCACAGACAACAACACACACATATACACATGCACACACGGATACGTAGACAAACACGCACACACCATACGCAGCTGCGGTGCTTTTTAGCACACACACTCACACACACACACACAGAGAGAGAAATAATCAGGCGGTGTCGTGGCCGTGGTCGGTGGTCGGTATATTCGGCTGTTGATTCTAAATCCGCGTCGGCTTTAGTGTTTTAATAATTTAATCCAGCGCGTAATTAGGGTAAGTATATGAAGTAGCTCAAATGTTTGATTGGCTGGCGGAAGCACACACAAAACGGAAACACAACGCGTCTGCACCCGTAACAGGACGTAGCTGAATTGAAAACGAATTCGAAAGCACACGCAAAAGTATCTGTTGGATATGTCGCAGCGACGGCAGCGGCAGCGGCAGCAGCAGTAGCAGCAGCAGAAGCAGAAGCAGAAGCAGCGAGTGCGTGACGGCGGCGGCAGTTGTTGCTGTGGGCTGGGGGGTGGGTTGGGTGTCGAGCAGCTTGCCTGTTGGCCTGCAACTTGCAGCGACGGTAACAAACGGTAAACGCACACGAGAACTCACTCACACACACTAACACACAAACACTAACACACGACAGCAGCGAGTACGGCGAGCACTCAGCGAGTAGCTGCCAGAGTCACGACAAACGAACGTTAAGCAGCGGCGACGACTGACGGGCGAACGGCAACTGAATAGCGGAATTTGATTTTACCAACTGACTCGCACGCAACGCGTACGCCTCGCATTCACATGGCCAGCCTGATGCTTTCCGTATCTTATCTGTCCACGGGCCCAACGACGACGCGGGTGCGAGAGAGCGCGCACATGCCGGCGAGCAGCGAGTGCCGTAGCAGCAGCCGGGTGTGAGCGAGAGCCAATGAACTGTGCACGCAGCCAAGACACACCCCAAATTCCGTTGCCACTGGTCGTTTATCGCGCACACACACACACACACAGTCATACACTCACACACTCACACACTCGCACACTCGCACACTCATTCACTCACTCACTCACTCTCTTGCTACCGCTGCGTCGCCCTTGTTCATGCTCGCGTGTTCGCTTGCTCGCCGTCTCTCTTGCTCTCTCGCCTTCACCCTAGCAGCACCAGCTCGCACAAATGTTTACAGAGCGCCATTGCTCCAGTTCTGTTGCCGTTTCTCTTTTGG